AATAACCCCCCCCCCCCGAAAAGATAGATAAAGATAAGATAAAGATACATTTGCCTTTAGAGCTGTACTGTAAGGAATACAAGAAACGTAATGACGTCGTTATCAAGTATCTAACAGTTAACTTAAGCTAACACAAGGTTAACAACATGTCTTTCTTTTTTCTTTTCTAAATCTCTGATACTGACTGTGTAACCTACTCAAGGGGCTATATACAAACGGGTAGTAAACTAAGTCAGTGAAAGGTAAGCTGAGCCAGACCGTTAGGGTATCATTGCAGTGCTGACTTGCAGGATAGATGCTGACCCAGAGACGACTGCTGCCAAACTCCGCCCATTAACGCCAATGGACATCTCCCGTAGAGATATACTAGACCCGGGGCTAGTATATCTCTGTGGCCTCTCCTGCACCTGACCCGCACGGAGAGACAGCGGAGGGTGAGTAGTCCTCAAATTCATGAGGTCGACTGATTGCGTTTTGTTTTAATGGGAAGCAAAAATCTCTGGAGGAACATGTGCTGAAGTGTCATATTACTGCAAGGTGCTAAGTTATGTGAAGAATATAGCTGTTACATACTGGTGAATGCAGGCAGCAGCAAAGTAGCATATAAAGTTGTGATAAAGACCCATTAGGCTTAGATGAGAGTGGTAATAACATGCTCTGGGTATTTTTATATTTCAGGTCTTTATAAGGAGGTACAGCAATTCCCTGAACAGCCCAAAACTCATGCAGATGATTTCGTGCCTCACTTCCCAAGGGACCATGGCTGATGAGATCTCCCCAGGGATGTCTGACAGGGCAGTTGTTGGAAAGATAAGTAAAAAGAAACATCAAGAAAGGCACTGTGTCACTCCTTCTCTCCCAGATGGACAGATCTCAATCAACACGAACAATGTGAAGACTGATTCTTCATTTGGTGGCATTTTTGTAGGTATGAACTCGTTTTCGGAGAGCAGTGACACTGGAATCCTTTATCTGAACCCTCTAACACCAAAGTGGTCTCTTGTAGAGAAGTTTGCTGAGCTCTCACCGGGAGAGGAAACAGGACTTAATGATGATGAAGACAGCAGCAGTGAAGAATTGTTACAATGCACTAAATATATTGAGAAAAATAATAAAAATGGATCTAATGAGGTGCTCTTGGACGCTGCACAAAAGGAAAGGAACTGTTCTAAATACCTCAAGAACAATAAGATACAAAGTGATGCGTCAGTCAAACACAGGACACCTAAGCTCAAAGAGCTAAATGCTGAGGAATATTCTCCTGGTGGAGGTGGGAATGAGACCAAAAAGAAGAATGTAAACAGTTGTCCTGTCAAGAAATCTCTTAAAAAGTGTGAAGACGACAAGATCCCTCGTCTTCTGGTAGCGATGAAAAAACGCGGTGGAGTTGACACAGAGCAGCGTCCCTTCAAGTGCACACGCTGCCACTGGGCTTTCAAGAAGTTCTGCAACCTACAGAGTCACTTACAGACACACTCTGGCCTCAAGCCACATGTGTGTGATATATGTGGCAAGGCTTACTCTCACCAGGGAACGCTGCAGCAGCACAAGCGTCTACACACAGGCGAAAGACCATATCACTGCCCCTTCTGTGTGAAGACCTATATCTGGTCCTCAGATTACCGCAAGCATATCCGCACACACACTGGTGAAAAGCCCTATGTCTGTGACACTTGTGGCAAGGATTTCATTCGCTCCTCAGACCTGCGAAAGCACGAGCGGAACATGCACACTAATAACAAGCCCTTCCCATGCACGCACTGTGGCAAGACCTTCAATAAACCCCTCTCCCTCAAGCGCCATGAGCGTAAGCACCTGGGAGAAAGGCCGTTCTCCTGCCCCGACTGCGGGAAGGCCTTTGCTCTGGCCAGTCGTATGGCAGAGCACCAGAAGATCCACACAGGAGTGCGTCCGTACGTCTGCTCTGTGTGCTCCAAGTGTTTCACAAAGTCCTCCAACTTGACAGAGCATGAGGCCATCCACAGTGGAGCGCGGCCCCACAAGTGCCCAGAGTGTGGCGTGGCATTTGCCATGGCTTCCCGCCTCGTTCGTCACCAGTACATCCACAATAAGGAGAAACCGCACAGCTGCACAGGGTGCAGCAAGAACTTTAGCCACCTAGCCACACTGAAGCTTCACCAGGAGCAATCCTGTGCTGGGAGGATCTTTGTCTGCGTGCAGTGTGACAAATCCTTCCAGTGTGCCTCAAAGCTTGCACAGCATATTATGAACCACAAGAATGCCTGAATGTGTTTAAAGACAGGTACTGAAAACATCCATCACTGTGCCAGTACTCTTCACTCAGTTTGCCACTGTATATCCAAATGCAGAGGTATAATTTCTTTCAAATATTCAGTTTCAGACGCGTCGGATCCATTCAAGGTCATAGGGCACCAGGTTGTTTATGTTAAGGTATGTATTTATGATAATTGCACCTTATGAGTTTTAAAACTTGTTACTCACGCACCCTCTTTCCCCATGGTGCTTGGTTCTCGTGAGTGTTGTGTGATAAAAACTGCCTCCAGCACAGCATCAGGAGCTGACAGCCTAATGGTGTAATATGTAAGACCACACAAGAGCCTTAAGAATATAGACACAGTTAAGAATAAGCCCAACATTGCCACTTAGGATTTAAAAAATGCATCATGGTTTATCATGATGAAAAGTTACTGATGATGTAGCATGCCTGGTCAGTCTGAACCTGGTGGTAACGATCCATCACTTCACCACCCTGAATTAATTGACACACACAGTTCCAAATCCTCAACTTTAGAATCAGTGACATTTGCCAAACATACAGTAGATGACAGATAACCAGTACTGAGGATGGGACACTGCTACATTATATTGTCCAAAGAGATGGGGGGACAGCATAGCGTTCTCAACCCACCATTGCCTGCTATACACAACAAGTAACAATTACACAAATACATTCATTCATTCTCAGATGCAGGCTGTTCTTATTTTCCGGTAAATTGCGGGTAGATTTGATACATTTTTTCTTGACGCACAGGCAGCAATAGCTATAAAAAGAAAAGTTCTCTAACGTGTTTATAACTTGGGAGACAACTCCCGAGGCACATTACTCTGACCACATTAATAGACCAGAAGAGTTGTAATGGTTCAGGGAAGCTTGATAATCAGCCATTGCCTTTTTTGGCCAGTTGACTAGAAGTTAGTACACGTTTATCTTCATTATTCGTCATTGTGTTTGACAGTACAGCTATTTCCATGATGGGTGTTTTGTTTGATATGTGGTTTTACAGTTTAGGTTCTGTAGCTTAATTTTCATTATGAACATACCAGCTTCATCATATGCAATCAGAAATATCACACCAAGAAGGGGTGAAAACACAAATAAGGTCTTTTTCAAGGAGAGTGATAAAAGTGCAGAAGTAAGCCTAAAGGCTGTGACTGCATAGGTGAGTTACTACAGCAGCACCCGCTGTGTAATTTGGTGAGATTAATTACCCCCAAAAAAGCACTTGTAAGTCAAATCTTTAAATGCGTTATGTCTGATTATTTTTCTTTTAATTTCAGTATGCATATAATGTCAGTTTTAAGTCTGTGGTTCTTTTTGATCTTTTTGATTGCCACGCACAACAAGCATGTTTGGTTTGTATGAGGGTCTTTCAAACCTGAGCATGCAGTGGATAAACGGGAAACAACATTGCAAACCTGTAGTGTTAAAAAACATTGTTTGAAGATGAAGCTCAATAAAAGTTTCAACTAAATGGTAATAAAATAAAGTCATCAGCCCCTTTTATTTCATTTTTTAACTAATAATGTTTGCTTTCTGAGGAATCATTTAAAACAATAAAGACACATCAAATTTATGCAACAACAAAGTTTAGAAAATTAGGATAATGATGAAGTTACATATCTGACAAAAGAGGAACATGCCTCTATCACACTACTAGGAGAGATTTTTGGGATGCTACTTGAAACTGTCTTTTTGTGTGTTCTGAATGCCTTTATGCTCTATATATGTTATTGGCAGGCAGTAAATGGTGACTCAGATCCTGGTTGTCGGGGTGAGCTTAATTCCTAGGCCAATGTGTCCCACTCACACTTGGCAACTGCAGACTAATGGTAAAAGGAGACGGCACCTGCCGTGTTGTCACTTGTTCTAGATTAAGTGAGAGGCCCCGCTTGGAATCCCAGCTATTCTATGGCAAGATTTATTTATTCAATATGTGACTTTTATTTCATCATTATCAGAGTGGAACGTCATAAAAAAACAACCATATAAAGACTATGGATACAGCTTTTAACATTTTATAATACTGAGAAATTATTTAGGCAAAATTGCACTGATAAATTGGTAATTAATACATTTCATGTGCTGGTACAGAGATACAAAAAAGCATAGACATAATGCATAAAGCACAAAGCCATATGAAAGAAGTCAAAATCACAAACACAGTCATAAAAAGATTCTACTTCTAAAATATATGCCCAAAGTATATATTACTGTGTTTTATATACATTTTAAAGAGCCAACGCTAGCTTTGTGGTCACACAAACATTTATATAATAGAACTATTAATAAAGCCCTTTCTCAGATGAAAGCATTGCAACTATCATCAGCACATAAACAGTTTGATCCTAAAATAATCTGCTAGCTGAGGTTGTAGAGCGTGTTGGATGTTTGTATGGCAGGGGTCTTTCCCAACCACCCCCTTTCCTCTCCCACCATGTGGTATCATCCATCTTGGGCAGCATGATGATGTGAGAATACATTCTTCCTTTTTTTCCCTGTATATATATATATATTTCTTTTTATATGATTAGAACTAAACTGTTCCACTTTACAGATGGTTAAAACAATAAGATATGGTTCACAATGTGCCATCATTTACAAGCAAAGTCAGGCTACAAACTGTGCCTCAGCTTGAAAGATTAAAGATGGCATCTGTGAGGCTAATAATGACCACAGCATAGGGTTACATTACAGTGATCTCACTTATGTGTTTTAACCATTTAATTGTGTTTAAAGATCCAGTGTTCAACATTTAGGAGGATCTATTGGCAGAAATGGAATATATTTGTAAGTATGCTAACATTAGTGTATAATAACCTGAAAATAAGAATTGTGTTTTTGTTTTCTTAGAATGAGCTATATTTATCTACAGAGGGAGCGGGTCCTATTCTACAGATTCCCCCATGTTGAACCGCCATGTTTGTATAACAGCCCGAACGGCCCTAAATAGGGTGTTTTGCATTTTCATGGCCACCATAGTTTGGGACAGGAGGGTGAGGCGAGGGCGTTGTAATCTGCAACTACACTGCTAGACACCTCTAAATCCCATACATTGGTCCGGTGTGTGAGTAGACCTTTTATAAAAGAAGATTAAGCTTTATAGATTTATATGTACTCCTAAATATAACTACAATCTAGCTGATTCTCGTGCCGCACACAACACATGGATAATCATTTATGGGTGACTTGAGCTGCGAGAGTCTGCTGAAATCCAGTACCCAGTGGGCAGTTTTGGTCACAGTTGCAGTTCCAAAGTTTTTTCAGCCGCACTACAGCTCCAAGTCACATCCCTCATACATAAATGGTCATTGGGGTCAATTAAGATATCCCTTTCCCCAAATATGTCCTGCGTCCACTGCTAATTTCCCCACTGTCAGCTTTTGGGAAGTACACTTCAGCTGTTTCAGTTGCTGCAATATGAGTTACTATGCCAATACATCCAGAGTATTTCTGTATCTAATATGCAACGTGATGGTGAACAAGCTGGGGGTTTTTAAAGGGCATCCTTAAAAAAGAAATGTGGGCAGTAGGGAGCGGTTTGGCTCTTACTGGTGTTCACCAAGCTCAGGTGAAGCTCTCATTTAGGAACTGTTAATGCTAGGTGTCCCCACTTTGGTTTTAGTGGTGTCAGTGAACCTACAAACACAATTCAAAGTAGTTAATAGGAAATCCTTTAAAAACCTTAAATATGGTACAGACATTTATCTTCAAGTAACTTAATTTACCTGATACAGGCAAGTGGTTTCTACCCCAGCTGCTGGCCTATAAAGAAGACATTGATATTTATAGAATACTATCATATTTGCATAGTTTTAATCTAGGTAAAATGTCATCAGTGGCAGCCAAAATCATTGCCAATGTTTTAGATTTCAGGGCTAAAAGAATGTAAGCTGCATATCATTTGCTTCAGCCAAAATTTGAAACAGGACACGCTGGTCAGCAACTGTTAATGGCAGTAACACAGAATAGAACGGTCAGTGACCTCTGATGTCCCTGACATTAATAACATTAACAAGGAGAATATGGAACTTGTCAACAACATGTTTATGATTTGACCAGTTGGAATCTCTTAAAAATGTATCAAGGCTGACAATTAAAAAACATTGTTAAAATAATTTACCTGCTTTCCTTGAAAAGGGATTGATCTCTGCAGGGGAAGGCTGGGATGGAAACATGCCAGGAGAGACAATGGTAGGCGGGGGAGGAGGGCAGACACCAGTAGTAGGTGGTAACACCTGAGAAAACATACAAAAATATATATCTTAACATCACCTAATCGAAAACGGAACATATAGATGTATATGGACTTGACTCTTACTGTCTGAGCTGGGCTTCCCTGCTCCGAACTCTCCTTTCGTACATCTTTGGGTTTTGATTTGAACCAACCACTGAACCATCCTGCCTTGGCGCTCTGCGTAAAACACAGAGAAAATGTGTCACGTGTTAAATGACTGTAATGTGGTTTCACAGATGTCAACTTGACAGGGGCTCCACCCACCTGTTTAGGAGGCTTGTCGATCTGCTCGGAGGCCTCTAAACCTTGGGGGATGTGATGATGACTGATGCCGACTTCCAGCATCTGACCCCCCATCTTCAAAGGCAAATACAGGTGACGACACACATCCAGGTAACTTTTTGGAAATATTTTCCAATGCTTAATACCAGTGGTTCCTACATTTTTACAATTCTCTGTCGGTATTTTTTATTTTCTAACAATCAAATTAATATGTTTGTTGTCAAATTCAGTGTTTTCTTGATGCTTGGCCATTATTCTATTAGCTCTTTGGTTGTTCAAATCTTGAAATATGCTATTTACAGTAGTAAAAATATTGTAATTTTTAGCAACAAATTCAATTAATCAATCAACATTAATCTTGTTTATGTTCCTTGCTTTTTTACCAGTACAAAATATTACAGACATCAACAACACTCACTGTGCCTGCTCCAGAGGATAACCGAGCCCCTGTAGGAGAAATGAAATCAAAATATCACACGCACGCTGACTCTACAGCCCATAATAAATGTCTGAATAGAGAAAGGAATGAATGCTGTCTGACATTAGGGGTTCTCACTCTCTGCTGCTGATGGCAGATTACTCAGAGGACAATGTGGCGGGGCAGTTCTGACTTCAGCACTATCTGTGTTATGATAACTGAAGTCTTGGCTCGCAGCCACTGTGGGCCCTGGGGGAGCATAAACCATCGGTACTGGCATTGGACAATTGGCAAGTGGCCTAGACAGAGCAACAGGGAGAGAATGATGACATAACAGGGTTCATTAGGACTGGATATCACGCATGCAGTAAGATGTTGCAGTATGTAGTTAGGGTGAATAAGGCATGTTGCTGCAGATTGTGTACCGGTCCTGAGCTCCACTAACGTCCCACGACAACGTCATTTCCTCAGTGTGTCCTTCAACCCGATGCTCAGGGCTTTCTTGATCCTCTGTGCCTCTGTAATAAAGGAGTTCAGGCTCTGGACTCTGGATGTCACGGCTTAGGTCATCCAAGTCTGGTTCTGTAGGAAAATTAAAATGAAAGCAACATTCTGAAGTATCATTAAGAGTAGTCATAGCAGACGTACAAGAAAGCAGAGGCAGACACTGCTCTCTAGTAGGAAACAGGGCACACAGTGCATCGTTTGAGGCAATAAGAAGATTAGAAATTACCTAAGCACACTTTTCCATCCTCGTGGGCCAAAGCACTTCCCTCAGGAAGTGGCTGCTGGTATGTTTCAGTACAGTCGTAACTCCCGGTCTGAGTAAAATAACACATTTAAACTTTATATAGATTTAGTGTCTGAACAAGAGTCTACAGCACCTCCATGAGGCTGAACTTAGGCACAGCAATTCTGTAGCACGCTAACATACCCACAATGACAGTGCTGACATGCTGATGTTTAGCAGGTATAATAAAAACAAACAAACATGGAACATGCTAACATTTGCTAGTTAGCACTAAACAAAAGTAGAGCTGAGGATGATGGGAATGTCATTTATTTTGCAAGTATTTGGTCATAAAGCAAATGCAAATGGTGGCACTAGACGAAAAGTTAAGGAAACAAAATCAAAAGTTGTGGAGACATCTCACTAAAAAACACAAACGTCAACCTCATGGCAGTGCTAGAGGAATAGTCAGGGGATCACCTAAATCAATGGGATATGTCGTCTGGAAACGATGAGAGTTTTATGGCAATCCCTGTACCTCCACTGCTTGTGCATGTGGGGCAGTGCTTGAATTGGTAAGAATGAAAGTACCAGAACGCTAAACCAGCAGCCAGTATAGCACACACGTAGCATCTGGGGGGCAGGGATTGTGTGCAGTTTTTATTATAAATACAAAGGTATGGTGTACTGACTATCTGTGGACAGAGAATTTTAGAGGTGCAAGCACATATCTAAGCTCTTATCCAGCAGCTTTCCAACTAAACTAGACCACATGCTGGATATGTACATTGCCTTCACACACGGCAGGAAACAGACTTATTTTATAGACCTGCATTCAAAAGGACTACACCAACTACAACATGTCATTACTACGTTCCAAGCAGTGTTGTGGGGGAATAAAGAAGCATTGTTCTATCTAACCGGTTAAGATTACTGTATTTTCTGAACATCTTAAACAAAAAAGTTATATCTCATTTTCATATTTTTCCTTAATATTAGACAATTTTCTGAAATGCTGGTCTGGAGCACCCACCTGAATACTGTGGTACCTTGCACGGAGCTGTTTCAGCCAGTCAGGTTCCTGCTCGGCTCCGCTAACCCCTGTTTCACTGAACTGACCCTCCGAGTGTCTCAGCCTCTCTGACAGCTGCACACATAACATACATACAGTACATCTTTGTAGAACTGAACTCATACACACCTAATTACTTTGATTACATGTATGTATGATAGGTATGTGTGTATAGTAGGATGTGTGAATACCTTAATAACCTCTCCAGTCAGCACAAAGAAAGGCTCCCTCTGCCTGAGGATGGCCTGTCCCACCACCTCACAGTAATGAAAGGCCTGTGATGCAAGCCCACAGTCCAACAGTCGACTGGCATAGAGGAACTTATATACCTGACCACAACGCAGCAACATTCAGCCTCACATGCCCCTTTATCAGAATAATTGTATAATTTCTAAAATTGTTTGTAGAAATCTGGTGTAAATGGAAGCTACCTGAAAGGACGGTATTGAAAAGCATTTGCCCCCAAGTGTCTGGCTGTACTCATACAACTCGGTGCACTGGATGGCAGGGTTTGTGGCAAAGTATTCAAAGGATTGCCTAAAGAAGAGGCAAGGATACACCAAAGACAAATACACAGTAAGTGAGATACCCTCTGCAAACATTCAGACAAAATTAGGACTACATGGACGGCAACTAAACTGATGAATGGCATCGAGGACCGCTTACCTGTGGCTGCTGCCTAGAAGCACCAGTCTGTCTGCTTTCTGCGTGAACACCCCGAAGGGAACGCTGGCTGTCAGGTAGCACACATGGGCGGCATGTAAGAGGCCTTTGGAGGCTGCACAGGCAAGAGTAACACAAAGCAATCAGCTCCCATATCTGTGCCGAACCTACCTGTTAGTCTATCAATGTGTCTATACCGAGAGAGTCTCCCATGGTGACGATGGCCTTCTGTTGGACGGCGGGATCTCCTGTCTCATTGGAGAGCATAACAGCCAGATGGGGCGTCCAGTCTCCCCATTTTTCATTTCCACAGCCCTGAGCACACAGAACATCGCTATCAAAGCTCTTATTGGATTATAAGCTACAGCTACAATAACTGAAATTGTCACGATTCACATGTGTGAAGAGTTTCTGGATGTTTTACCGCAGCTACAGCAGGGATTCTCCCAGACAGAAGCTGGAAGAGAGTCTGGAGGGGATCACTGGCCGTTAGCTGGCCCGTAAACCTGCCAAAAGAGCATTTTTTTTTTCATTGCACGTCTTAACTGAGGCTTTAGTACAGGCTAGCAGCAGAGCTACTGTGCTAAAACCCTCAACCCTCCCCCACACATTCCTCTAGAGTCTAGTGTCATGAGAGGCCATACAGTATGCTACATGGGAGATACTGGTGCTGCCAAAATAGTCTGTCCGTAAAAAAAAATGGATTGGGTTTCATGAGAAATAGCTCACAGAATCTGTAATTTAGTGATATAGTCCTCACTCAGCACAGTTCTCCTGCTGAAAATGGACCACTCCTCTCTGACTGATGCAGAGACTGAAGGGCATTAATTGAGCTTGTTGTATGTCAAACCAGATTATTTGGTGTTAATGGTCTGTTATGTACTGTAATAAGATGACCTACTGCAAATTATAAATAATTTAGAAGATAAAGATAAACTCTGACAGACATTCTGTGAGCTCAAAGAAATAATTAAAAAATAGTTATCCATATTTGATAAATAAATAGCACCAATAAACACACCATATCACATCAATAGCTTCATCTAAAGATAGAAAACTAATATTATTTTCTTTATCTTAAAAGGGTTTACGAACAGGAGGCTGTGTTTAAGTGTTCCAGAGGTCTAATCTCTTCTTGTTTTCATAAGTGTAATTACCTTCCTTCTAAATGAAGGCCATTATTTTTGGACACAGAACTCATTGGATAGAGTAGATGTCCTGTCCTGTTCCTTGCCATGTGCTACACAAGTCACAAGTAGAAGCATATGTGAGTCCTCCTCCCTCAGTTATGACTGCAGACAAATGCTACAGGAGTTCATTGCTTCTTCTATTATAGTCTCCATAACTGAGTTGTTTTAACATATGTTCAGTACAGTATATACTGATGCAGTTATTCCAATAAAATTGTCAGATCCACATCTCAAATACATTTTTGTATGATTATGTTAAGTTCCACAAATAAACAATGTTTACTATGTTTACCCTTTTAGTTTAGTCTGTTAGCATGCTATTGCTAATTAGCACTAGACACAAAGTAAAGCTGGGGCTGGTGGGACATGGTTGGTATTTAGTCATAAACCAAAGATTTGATGATGGCAATAGATTTAAAGTCAGAGGATCACCAAAGCTGTTACACTTTATCTTGATCGGGAAATGAATGTCTGTGCTAAATGTCATATCTGTCCAATAGTCGTCGAGACATTTCAACCAAAACCACAAATGTCAAGCTTGTGGTAGTGCTAGAGGAAAAGTCAGGGGATGACCAAAGCCAGTAGGATTCATCCTGTGGGGGCCATGAAGGTCAGTACAAAATATCATGCCAATCAATCCAATAGTTTAGTTCAGTCTGTACCAAAAGGGTGGACCTACCAACCTAGTTTCAGATTTAATCATTTAGATTTAATCACACGACTCTTCTTGACTTTCCAAATGTTATTGGACTGAGTGGATCCAATTTTCTTTTTCCCATGACTGTGTATAGGGAAATGTCACGTAATGAACAGAGGGCACTACACCAGGACATCAGTTCACAGCTCAGCTGCATTCCTGGGGGCTTGACTAAAACTAACGCACAGGAAGCTGGGAATATACTTCAAATATAAGTGATGGAAACACTGGCCACATTTCCTTGTTGCTATAACAGAAGTTTAAAGCAGGTCCTAAGTATCTAAGTTTAGTCCGAGGGAGCATTTCTTCACAAATTACCGCCCGTGTGTAGAGTTGTGTACTGATTTCTTGCAGCTGTCATGTCTCAGATTGCTTTTCTCACCTGTTTAGTACAGTGGTATAGGACCTGTTGTCCATTTTGCTGGCTAGGAAAAGCGCATGCCCCCACAGGCCACTGCTCATTGCTGACTCCAAGGCCTCCTGGAAACCACATGGGAAAGAGTGAGGGGATAAACAACCATGGCACCTTTACGCACAGTTAGCTGACAATAGTTCTGAACTTTTCAGTAGAATTTTAATTCAAAAGACCTAACCTGTAATGGTATATTTTTACATTGTGGTAAATAACTAAATAAGAGCGTTAAAAAGGTGAAAACCTTCTTTCTTCCACCCAGCAGCAGTTGGGTGTAGCTCTGCAGGGCCTTCTCAGAGGTCTCAGAGCTGAAGCTGCTCCAATTTCCTGTGAGCAGGTCGTCTCCTTTGCTAGGTGGTGCTTCAGCAGTTGTGGCATCACTGAAGTCAATGAGCGTGGGAGCATCTGACTCCCAGCTTCCATCTGAATGTGAGCCCTGCATCAGCAGCTCTGCGATATCTGAGCCAACTATTTGCTGAAACAATAGAAATTATGTAATAACTGTATCAGAAAAAAAACTAATAATTAATTTGATGTTAAGCCTATTGTGTACTATTTCTACATATCATAACAACAACAAGATGATAATAACAAGATGATACACTTACTCCATTCTGTCTGCAGAGCAGTATCAGTAGATTCCACAAGAGGGCAGCAGAGCTCTTATCATGCAGCTTGTCAGCTCTCATGCAGGCACCTGCCCTCTGGTGGGCAAACTCTATAGCATCGACTTTGTGCAAATCTTCCCTACAAAAGCCAACATTTAAAGGTTGAATTTAAAAAATAATCTTTGCAAGTCACACATGACTAATACAAATTTCAGATGTGTTCAGTAGAATGTACACCAATGGAGAAAATGGCATCAACCCTAATTTTAAGATTATTAAGTGGTGAGCATTTTCAGTTTCAGAATTGCATAACAAATGACGAAGCAATACCTGGTTAAAGGTCCTGGGAAGGTTCTCATCTCCTGCTGTTCCTTTGTGTCACTCAGAATGACCTGTCCAAACATAAAGACAAAAATAATTTCTCAAAGGTTTTATCCAAGAATACAGTATTAGTGGTTAAAAAGAAGAAAATGTAATAAAGTTATAAGCACAGGGTGGTGTTGAACACACCTCCAGACTGTGGATTTCCAGCTGGCTGACATTCTCCTGTGTGGACAAGCCCGGAGTGACCCGTATCAGCTGGCCTGCGGGCCCAAAGCTGGCTACCGCATGAGGGACTGAGTACTTCAGAGGAGCTGACACCTGATGCACAGGTCCGTGCTCTGAGGAGATATGAAGCACAAAGGAATGAGTGTCATGATAAACAGTGAGTGAAGTGGACACTGAGAGAGAAACTGTACACTCACCTGCAGCAGACATGTGAACGGGCTCACTGTGTTCAGCTCCGTTGATGTACTGACTCAGTTCATAGCTGCTGGAGGATAACCCTGAGTTTTTGGAACTTTCTAATGTCCCCATGTAATAGGAGGAAACCTCTTCATTCTCTCTGGAGGGATTATCCTCGTAGTCATTGAGGTAATGCTGGGAGCTGTCTCTCCCTTGGTCATACCTGAAAGAACGTATTTCATTTTAATAGAAATATACATCAGGGTTGCTACTTTCTATTGCTGCTACAACACATACGTAATTCAGCCTGTACCTGTAAATACACAAGTACACTTGTTATCAACACTGAGGAGCAGATAGGACACAGACACATCCTACAGTGCAGGTGTAATTAGGACTAGAAAAGTTATAAACTGCAGTGGGGTTTATGTCTGACTAAACACACAAAAGACTGCTGCTCACTGACAGCTGAAGTTCATCTTAGTACTTCTGGGTTAGTTTTGTTTTCTGTAGATTTACATTAAGTTACCATTATCTTTTGTCTCCTGGACTACTGTAACAGACCATATAATTCTGGTACCTGTCAGAGCTCCGTCCACAAGCTCCAACTGATACACGACACTGCTGTCTGAATAATAACTGGCACCAAAACAAAATTAATAACACTACCACTTTTGTCCAGGTGCCTAAAATGAAAGTTCCTTGTAGGGGCTTTAATATTACTTATTTTCCATCAACACAGAACTGGTTCTGTGTTGTTCTGGTTCATGCACATAGTAATGAGGAACCCAAAAAGTTGGTTCCCAGTTGGAACCAAATAATAGCCGGATTTCCTCGGGAACCAAAGTAGGCATGCCATATTCTAAAGGTTATTGTGCCAACGCCCTCTGTTGATGACACATCCTCAGTGGTTATGCTGGTGGAAACGCAGGCTGGTTCCAAGAATGTTGAACAAAACCAGTTTAAGAACCAGAGCTAATTTGGTGGAAAAACATGATAGAACATATAGCACAGGCATGTACAAACAACACTGTATAATTTCAAAGTCTTCTTTGAGCAATGTTGTGCAATAACACCATAGCAACGGCTTTGAATTGATCAAATTAATTGATCAGTGTTCTACTCTGAAGTGTGACTATGGGGTTGACTTTCACAGAAGGGGAATCTTGCAGCTCACCTGTACTCCTCAGTGTTGGAGCTCCCTGAATGTTCCTGCTTGTATGTTCTGTCATGGTAGTGGTCCGTCTTCCAGGACTCTTGGGGACCCCACTGGCCAACATCTTAATGATCAGAATAACATACAAGTACCATCTTAGTGGTCGACCAATATGGCTTATATATACATATACAGTTATCTTAGCCAGTAACACATTGTTTTAGATGGAGTTTTATTAATTAATATAACATAAAAATACATTGGTCTGAGAACGTGACTGGTGTTCAAGGGAGGGTGGAGTACAGTATGTCAGAAGAGATGTAATTTAACTGCATTATTATAACATAACATATATATATGGCCGATTATCTCAAAATGTTAGTTAACCAGCCCAATTAATCAGTTTATTTATAGTTTTTACCAAGACATGGGGTGTAGTACTCTGCCAATAAAAAAAGCTTTGTTGTATCAGTTGTCTTCCCTGTACCTTGTCGTCCATGCTGTCCTCTATAGTAGTCCTGGTCATAATAACCATAGTTGTCTCTGTAGTCCCAGTGGTTGGGAGGTGGATAGTCATACCCGTGTCTGGAAACAAAAAGCTTCTGGTTTTATCATTGCATTGATTCATTTGCTTTACCTGTTAATCCTTCCATCAAGACGGCACCATAATGTACTGAAACACTCATCTATAGAGATTTTTTTTGGAGTGATCAGATTTCCTCCTGTCTTTTGTCTTCCTTTTTAGCGACAGGTGTCTGGTGAGTATCCCAGCATGCACAGAACAGCAGAAGGCCACCCTGCGCTCAGCCTAATGGATTTACTTGAACCTGGGCTTTTGCACCATCATACTGTCCCCAAATCAGTGCACCATACTATAACATGCATGATTATATACACTGATATTATTATTAACTTCTTCCTTGTATTTAGGTGCAGTCACCTTGGCACAGTACGTACAATAACACCAATGATCTGTTACTGCACACACCTGGACTGGGGTCTTTGGTGTTCCGGACAGCCATGGCCATAAGCATACTGCTGAGTGCTGTAAGGATACGGCTCTGGTCTGGCAGGAGGACTGGTGAAATGAGTCCTGTAGCGGGCATCAGGATGAGCCCAGTGCCTGTCCCAGTCTCTGGGGTTCTGTGGTGGGTAGCTCTGATCCCGATCCTGCTGAGAATACCTGTAGTAGTCCTCTTTGTCTTTGGCTTTGTGGGAGTGACGGCCAGAGTCGGACCGGGGGTGACCTCTGTGATCCATGCTGACCCCTTCACACAAGAGCCTACCTTAACACCTTGGGGAGCAGGAGTTTGTGTCTGTAGGAGACCCTTATTCCAAAGTAAAATCCACACAAAGAAATGTGTTTTTGTTTAGGTCCTCACAGCTCTGAGGTGCAGTCAAAGTACGTCCACTACTGCCACATCATTTCACAGGGAAGTCACAACATGAGCTGATAACAAGTCAACATGATAACAAGAGGATAAAGTTCACAAAATACAGTGGCCCATATAGTATGTGCTGCTGCTGAACTGGGACCAGTGCTACAGAGAGTGTCCCAATGAGAGGAAAAAACTTACCAAAGGACACTTTATAAAAATCAAAGTCATGTCACTGAGGGTATTAATGTGCATAATGTTTGCTCTCTGTGTGTCTCCCGGGCTCGGACAGTAAACATTGGAGCACGCCCTGAGCGCTCTGACAGCTGCCGACAGCTGGAAAAGAGGAAATCACGTCCATTCTAAGGATGACTCCAACAAAATAAAATCCCGTCAGCCTGTTCTGCTTCGTCCCGACATTACTGACCGGGTCCTCGGATTGTTACTTACATGTGGAAAAAACATTTAAGTGTTGAGTCCTGCCACGTTGCCGGTAGGGAAGATGCGCAGTCTGTTATTCGGTTGAGCTGGTCTCCGGTCGGTTTCTGTGATGTTTCTGTGCAACGGGGCCGCAAGGAAACTGATCCCTAGTCAGTGGTAACTTGGAGGCTGAACTTCTCTTGTAGTAAAAAAGCGTTTATGTTACGTTGCCAGCAGAGGCGCTCTAATCCTAATATCCTGTGGATATACTTTCCTGTCACTAACTTTTACATTCATTTTGTATCAACCTCAGGGTGAATGAAGAGACTGACCTTTCATATGGGACACTGGACCTGCACTGCAGACAAACATACTTGCCTCACACCCATTTCTTCTAAAGCAATAATGTATTAGAATTGTGCCTTTTTTGTGTACATATACAACAACATCAACCAAAGCGCACACTGAGGCACAACTTCTCAGATATAAAACCATATTTTGTATATAAATAAACGTAAAAGCATATTGAAATTAGACATGATTTCATGATCTTTAAAGTAATACACTCATTTAGATGGTTTTTAAATGTTAGCTTCTTGTGTATAGCCTATTCGTGTTTTTTTTTTTGTTTTTTTTTTGCATAAATGTCCTCTTTATATTCTGGTAACTAAACAAATGTGTGCGCTGAAATGTGTACGCTTATGACAAATTAACATACTACACTACATGCCATAATAATAATAATAATACATTTGCTGGAGTCGGATATGTTAGCTGTTAACTAACACTTTTAAAATTGTATTTCTAATAGTCTGACAGCTATACAGGCTTTTTATATATATACATATATATTTGAACCTTGGAGAGAAAGGGCACAATTACCAATTTTATGGGGAGTAATAGAAAAGTAATATAACTATTAGTGTAACTAATTACTGTTTTCAGAGATTAATTAGTAAAGCAATAATATTATTTTTGAAAAGAATAATGAGTAATAAATTAAATTTTTTCAGTAACCAGCCCAACACATAACTTTGTGATTATATTGCATAAGCTGTTTGGAGAGACAAGATTACATCAGCAAGTACAACGTTTTTGAGTATTGAGTATTTCATTTGGAGCTGCAACATGCAAACACTATAGCAGAGTCCTAACGACTCACTTCTGATCACTTGGCTTTGTGTGTGCTGGTTCCTGCTACTGGAAATCTAAAGCTGCTGTAATTTCCTCTTAAATTCGAGTCAGAGCTTTTAATGAGTGATGAACTGTTCCCTGTATTTGTCAGTGACCTGTCACGGCCACAGGGTATCGCTGTATCCACAAAGACCGGCTGAAAACAGAGCCGCGCGTCCATGTGACCGGTGGGACCGGTTTATTATGCAGATGAGCTGTGGTGACAGAGGCTTTTACTACTGGAGACATTGGACTCGGCGGACACACACTGAGAGTCTCAGCTCACAGAAGCAGTCGGGTTTCGCTCTGGATATTGTTCAACAGCAAACCGCTCGGATGTGCAATATGACTTTTGAAGAAACCGGTGGAGATAATTCTTCAGAAAGGTTAGCTTGTGTTGCTTTTTGCACCTTTCCTGCATTTCTCTCGCTGATTCTGCGTTCGTTGCAACTTGTTTTTGATCTGAATTTCACCCTTTTTGAGACGCTTTAAAAACGCTTCTAGGTGCAAATGCAAATGCTCTAACCTGTTTTTATTTAGAACTGCTACTTGCTGTTTGAAGCGGGGTTTCTCTCATATCGTCTGTTCTGACTGCCATTCAGTGATAGTTGGTCTCGTACACTGTAACGTCAGCTAACACAAGTGCAACGGTCAGCTAACGTCAAGCTAACTTTATAGTTATAACGTTAGTATAGTTATTGTTTCAGCTAGCGTTAGCGGTACCTGCTCATTGTCTCCGGGTCATATCACAAGTATTCTTATTGTTAAGTCTTGCGGTGTCTATCGGACATGCAACGTTACATCATTAGCTACCAGTCATGTCATGTGAATAACATTTCCATTATATAATAAAATAACATTATTAATATCTGAAATGCGTTGACGTGTGTTCTTGTGTGTTTTTCTGGCTGGTTTTTCAATAATATGTCAATGTCTCCCCTCAGGATGGACTCGGTGGCTAAAGCATTAGAGGAGGTCCTGAGCTCTGCGTTACCTCAGGGTTGCATCACTGTTGGAGTCTATGAGGCAGCAAAGTCACTAAACGCGTAAGTGAATCATAAAATAACTCCTGTAGCCTGAGCTCTGGTAAATCTACAGTGCATAAACGTGAGCCCTTTTCCTCACAGCTCTTTCTCTTTGCTGCTTTCAGGGATCCAGACAATGTGGTGCTGTGTCTGCTGGCCACAGACGACGATGAGGAGGATGTGGCTCTCCAGATTCATTTCACCTTAATCCAGGCTTTCTGCTGCGAGAACGACATCAACATCCTGCGGGTGAGCAACACCAGGCGCCTGGCAGAAATACTTGGAGGAGTGAAACCTGGAGGCGAGCCCATGGACCTGCACTGCGTTCTAGTTACTGTAAGTGTCGTTACTCATGTCTGTTTACTATCGCTGCTGTATGTTGCTCACTTCCCCTCAGACTGAGCTGTTTTGCCCTGAGCCAGTTTTATTACTCAGGTCATTGTCGGTGCTTGCAACGAGATGTTGCTAGCAGCGGTTGTGCAACCTGAACAATTTCAGTCTGTTTGCACATTTCATAAATCAGCAGATGTTAACTGCTTTGCCCCTTCTCCTGCAGAATCCTCAGTCGTCACCGTGGAAGGACCACGCGCTGAGCAAAGTGAACAGATTCTGCAGAGACAGTCGCTGTTTGGATCAGTGGGTGCCCGTCATCAACCTGCCCGACCGATGAAACCACTTGGAATATTAATGTATTGTGTGCATTGGAGAAAAGTAACTGCACAAGGCCTGTGTTAATGTCTGTGTTGGATTCCTTTGGAAAGTGCCCCAGAGAGAGAGAGAGAGAGACGGGAGGGGCAGAAAAAAAAGGAAAAGCAAAACGTTCCAAGAAATTTACCAGGTCAGGGCGAAATCATGGGCCAAGGAAGAGTGACTCAGCAGTCTGGGTTCCAGGATTTCCAATGTATGACTGCGCCTTTCTCTACCGAGAAAGAAGCCTTTACAGGAAACTGGATCATGTGAGTGGAGGAGCGCACATGGTGGTGAGCACAAGCGCGGGACAGGGGAAAAGCAGACAGAGAACCCCAGTTGACTCTGAGAACTGGACCATGCTGATGTGGACCAGTCAGAACTCTCGGCTTGAAGGACTCCTTGTGAAAATTTGACCAAATCTAAGCATTTCTTTAACAGCACATTTATTTAATAGTATTTAAGACTTTGACACTTTGATAACTCAAAAGGGAAACTTTTCAGTTTATTATTATTATTATTATTATGATTATTATTATTATAATTTAAAGGGCAATGCAATGTTTAGACTTGTCCACTAACTGGTGTTTTTATGTGTTATTAATTTAATTAGTTATATTTATTGTGCATAGTTCATGGAATTCTGCCTTGTTAAGTTGAATGAAATAAACAAAACAACCAACAGTTCACAGAGTGTTTTTGCCTCAATGATTTCCAGTTACTACAGGTTCATCGTGTTCGTAGGAAGTCACACAGTGTCCCGAGGAACAGGGCATGCCTCTCGCGCCCACATAACATATGAAGCTCAGCGTGCTGCCAAACAGGGTTTGGATTTTGTGCTGGCATGCCACTGGGCAGGTTTAAGTATTTACTCAACACATCTCTAACCTTTTCAGCAGCTTCCATCTCTTGGACCGAAAGCAAGCTAATGTTCTGTTAAAATGATTACCATCTTTTTATTTCCAACTTAAAATAGTACCATGTTCCGGCCCAAATCTGCTGCTGGCATGCAATTCCTTGAAATCAGCTTTCCTCTTGCATGGGAACTGTAGTAAAATGTGACCTTTTGCACATTTCGAGGGTCCAGTTACATTGAGGGGAGGAGAATTCCCATTGTAGTGTGTATCTGAGTGGGGCTCATCTTGACGTCTCATTCTTTACAGCCTTCTGCATCTACCCCATCAGAGCTAAATTTACTGCTGAGTGGATTAAAAATAGAGAGGCAAGAAGACAAAACTTGTTGAAGACCCATTCCAGACTGTGCAAAAAGAGAAAACCAGAAATTATTGGTGCTTGCACAGAGTGGGGAGGGACAAAGCCTTCTACACAGAGGGTCACAAGACAATAGATGTATGAGTCAGGGCTATTCAGGCCTCCATTGCTAGAGCTGTACAGTACTTTAGCTTCACGGCAAAAAATAGCCCTGTGAATAGAGGCGCCCCCCGACCACTGACAATACTTGTAATTAACAGGCAGCATACACACAGAGAGGCTGACCTGCTGCAGAGATATCCATGTGCAACAACAGTCCTCTCCGGTGGTCCTATCAGGTGGTGAATAGGAGATGGGGAGGGAAAAAAACTGGGTCAAAATGCTGGACTGCCTGGAAGACTGGGGAGGAGCGCGGGTGTGACTGGGTGCCGGAGGGTTTGTGTTAAATTGGCCTAAGTTAAAGAGTGCAGTTTGCAAATGTGGTAAAACTGTGCACAGAGGCCAAAGACAGTTCCACAGTCTAGGTAAGAAGACTCTAGTTACACTTTTCCAATGACTCTGAGATTTTGCTGCTGGCTTTATGGAAGCTGGCAATCAGCAGAACTAAAATGTTATTTTAGTGTTAGATGAGACACAAAAAATGTGTAAAAAAAAATAAAGGTCTGAGATGTTTCCTTGGAAAGTGGAACAATAACATCAGAAATACCAGAGCAGGATGAGTGTAAAATGACACATGAAGGCCAATTTGATCATTAAGAGAACCACTTTTTTTCCTTAACCAGAACCTTCTTGTCACGCAAGGAGGGGCCACTAAAAGTAGATACTTGATAATTGGCTTGTCCTGGAGCTTCTCCACTGCACTCGCAGGTAATACAATCACTGCAAACAACGCTGCGACAAAGCCTGCGCTATCCATCATCTGACTCAAGTAGGGGTTACATCAATGTGGGCCAACAAATATGGCTTGACCTGATTGTGGATGTAACATCACACCTGAGGAGAGTGAGAAAGGAGAGAAAGGGTTGCCCAGAGGAGCAGGGATTATTGCATAACAGGCTGGTCCTGGCTCAGGGGCACAGAGGAACCTTCGCTGAGAAATTAGAGCAAGCGAGAATGTTTATGTGCTCCTGACCTGATACTAGAGACACTTATCCACTTGTTTGAAGATAGCGACCTGTGATGCCAACAAAGGAATGACAATAGGCCTAGTTAAAGACCAATTCCGCTAACGAGTGTAGATTAGGTCAAACTGGTTTTTGGCAGAATAAGTATCTCTTTTTAGCTCCAAATAAACTACAACCAGAGAGTGATTACAATATATTATACAAAGCAGGAATGAATGTAATGCAAGTAGCAGGTTGAGTGTCTAGTTGCTCCCGTGTGAACGTTTACAGGAAGTCAAGCCACATCGGTGAAATTTAATGTGGTCGGGAACAACAAACTGAAATTGTAGGCAACTAGCCTCTGGGTATCTGGGATCCGCATTCCATTTCACATTAATGTCAGTTTAATTTTAAAGCAGCATGCTTTGATTTAGTTAGCCACTTGGCAGCAGAACAAGCTATAAACACATATCACCTTATAAAGCTGATATGGCTAACATGTTAGCAAAGAATTACCTAATCATTGAGCAGATGAAGTCAACATTAGGATTCATTTAGAGTTGTTTCTGTGCAGCTGATAAATGAAAGTCCAGTTTTTACTTTCTTTTTAGCTCTGTTTTTGGTCACAAATTAAGATTTCTAAAGTAAAGTAAAAGTAAAAGTAAATACTTTTGGAATTCACAGAACGTAAAATCATCAGATGTTCTGGCTGAACAACCAAGACTGTCACAATACCTGCTTTTCCTGTAAGGTTTAGTTTTATTCTTTTACTCAAGGTTTATTTATCATTCTACAATGCAGGGTTGTACAACGAAATGCAAGCTGTATATATGTTACACACAAAAACAAAAAACTATTACTTACGGTGGAGTGTGGAGGATGGCTTGAGGTCGCCATCTTCAAACCATCTTCAAACAACTGGATAAGTGTCTCAATTCATCCTCCACACTCCATCATAAATATAATTTTTTTCCTCTTACATTAGTTTAAAAAAAACCCCTGATATAAATAACTTGTTTCTATAGGTTTATTTGCATTATAACAAACAGGAAATAATGTTAAACAGGTAAAGGCAGGATATGACCTACAGGAAAGTAACCTACACTCACCAGGCGTGACAAACCACAAACATTTTAATGTAATTGTAATTCAATTAAGCCAAACAACACATTCAGTTTCAATTCAGAAAGTTGAATTAGTATCGCAAAAATTCAAAGTTGTCTTAATCAGTACAATCCTATAAAGTACATTAAACAGTTTAAAGCAAGCACATACTGTGGTTCATGGACGTACATACTGCGCTACAATATTGATAGACATATGAGATATATCTTGATACAATTCATTACTGAACATTAGTCATTTTGAAATATGATGTCATACATGGAATTAATAGTAAGATATACTCCCTTTACCTAAGGGGCTTGCTTATTCACAGTATTAGACAACAGCACTTGTGTGACTAAAAAGGTAGTCGAAAGGTTGAAGCCGCATCACTTCATAAGGCCCTGGCTGGTAAAATTGCAAAATTAGTTCCTTATGTTCTGCATAAGCACCAACACACAAATGACATAAAGTCAAAAGTACACACTGCCAGTCGTACGTTTTTATAATAAAATCTAAGTAAATTTTGGAGCAGTTGTAAACATGGAATGTTTCAAACTCAAGAGTATAACAGTCATTTGGTGTTTACAGGTTTCAAAGTGCCTGAATAGTAATAACAATAGTAGAAATTAGCCTCAGCTCTGCAGACAGAAAACTGTTAGGATATATATAAATAAATATATATTGAGATACTGAAAATCTAATTGGTAGATCTGATAAGATGGCACAGATTGGTCTTGAATCCTTTTTTCAGCAATGATGGCCCCATAATAAATATTTCTTTATACAAATCAAGACATACATCATGCAAAAAGGTCATGCATAATGTACAGTTCATACTGGTACTGCTTAATTTTTAGAGAAAGTAAGACCGGACATTTTACATATGTTTTTAAGGCAAATGCAAACAAAAAGAGTTTAAAAAAAAGACGAGTTTTGTCAAGAAAATTAACCCTCTGGTATCGAAACCTCTCTTCAGCTCTGCATTGGATTCAATTGAAGTAGGTATTGAAAGTCTATAACAGCTACTAGCTCGGAGGACAGTTAGAGAAAACTGAAAATCCAATCAACAATAGAACTGAATTATTTGCGTCGGCAAAGATTGAATTGTCAGGACAATTTGAACCAATTTGATTCCCCTGTCTGTGCTAGGAGCGTGCTGGGAACAATTTAATGGCCAAATTTAAAAACTGATTTTTGTCATTACATAACAAAATATGAAGCAGCAGATGTGCATAGCTGACAATGAACCTCCACTCTTTCCATTTGTCTTCATGTGATGGACGGCACAGTTCACTTGTCCAACGACAGGATATCATTATCACGGGGACTCATTATCAGTAGCAGACAAACTAAAACAAATGTTTCCTGAAGCAAGCCTGATGAAAGTAGAGGTGAAAGCTCAAAGCCTAAATCTGCCTGGACCAATGATTGAGGGGGCTTGTTTATGGACGCTGTGATAATTATAAAGTCAGGAACTCTCCTATCCATGGCACAGCTCTCTTCAGGTCTGTGGCCTTGTCAGATAACAGTACAGAAAAACTAAAGTCACCACCGAACCTTCATACAAACTTTTAATCATTTTAGTTTGAGCTAAAGCTTTGATCCAAGGCCACAACTTCAGACTTCTGCCTGTTCTTTGGTGTAACTAACTGATATCTGACTGTGAGGCAGAGAGGAATAAATTCCTTCAACTGCAGCAGCAGGCATGTGAAAAGGTTGGGGGCAAGGTGATACACTGGCCTTAAGATAAGTTGTTAACAGTATTACTATTACAGCTTTTTTTTCCACATAAGAATCAAAAGGAAAGCAGCAAGTGCTCAGGTATTCCCCTACAAAACAGTGCAAGGCTTCTTGTCCTTGAAAGGGTTTTCTGAAGCGGGGATGCCCATGAGCAGCGGGTCATTCTTGGCATGTTCTCCACAGTAGCGCATCAGGTCTGCCGAAGCCTTGGAAACCTGCAAAATCAGTCCACACACTGATCACCCTTGACATACAGGTAGTAGAAGTAGGACACATACAGTGGTGTGAATGAATAAAGGTACCTTTATCCTCTCGATGCTGGCCTCTATCCTCAGCTGCTGCACCGTCCGCCTTGCCTGAGCTATACTACTGGAGCTCTGCATTTTTGATGACATTGCAGTCTTTAGACAGCTGTGCTCAATCCTGCAATAGGTAAACAAACATACACTTACTGTACTTACATTAATTAGTGTAGAGATGCAGTTTGGTATTTGTACAAAGGAAACCAACAAAGCCACAGTGTAATAAATCTATTTAAGTGACTCCTGGCAACAAGATGTTCCTGTGGGATTCACAAAGAATCACAAAGGTCAGGTTGTTTAAAATAATGCAGAGGTTATTACTGCTTTTATACATACAACAAAATCATTTTATCCTATCATCAACTACATTAGTTTATTTGGATTTGATGTTGTTATTGGTATCATACTGGTAACTAACTTTGCTGGTGACACTGTCTTTACAAAATGTCATGCCAATCCATCTAATGCTTAGGTTGCAGCTCTTAGTTTGTTGAATGAACAGCTTTTGCACAATATTGCAGAAATTATAGAAGTGAGGTTACTAAGCAGTTACTGCACAAATGTCTGATGTCTAAAGCTGGGTAACTTCCCAGAAGTCAGTTGACTTAATCTGGAATTGACTCAACGTGCGTATAAACTGTGGCCCAACCTAACGGACTACTGTTTCACAATTCCGACTTCCAGGATACAATGGTGTGCTTTTACCGGCTCATTACGTCAGTCCCTGAACGACTTGGAGGAGAGGCTGCACAGTTGCAACTTCTTTTCTGCACAAACATGATTTCTTATAAGAATCAGAGAGGAACAGCTGCTCATGCAAGAAGAACACCATGTGTTCAAGTTATAGTAAAACACGACATGTCCTGTTTAGCAATAAATGAGAATTTCCCTGTGTACCCATCAATTGTTCAGCACTGATAACATGCAGCTCTTGTTCCTTAAACAAATAAAGAAAACCAGTAAATGGCTCCGTGGGACTGACAAAAATAATCTTTGACATGTGGTGTGGTTCATGTTTGCGCTGTGCTTTGGTGCAGGATATTACAGAGGAGGGGGACACACTGAAACGGAAGGGAGATGAAACATGGACTAGAGAACCGACTACAGAAGGGAGACGAGACCATGCATCCCTTTAATCCCCCCACCCACTCCCTTCCGCTTCCTACACAGGAAGCAGTATCGCCAGTTACGCTCTAAAGTATAAATGATGAAATAAGGGGAGGAGGCTTTAAAAATAGAAGTTACACACGCAGGCCAGTAACCAGGGAAACAAAAACACACTGTAGCTGCTCAGGGACTATATAAGCTTTCCTAAAGAAAGCATGACATTAAAACCACAATTGCACTTTTTTCAGACTAGTCTACAAACTGCTGTCATAGTTTTTGCTTTCTTGACCTGTGCACTCATTGTTCCAGGGAACTTAACACTTAGCAGCTGCGTCACAGGGGGGCTGGCTCTCACCCCCAGCGTGTGCAGGGACGCTGTGTGACGCCAGCAGCTACTATAAAGCGCTTTAAGTTTGGAAGGAGGCACTAGAGGCGTAATGAGCTGTAAAACACGTTAACGAGGCTAAGTGTTCTCTGTTTTACTGCTCCATTGTTGTGGCTGTGGTTGTGTGCTCTTGTCTTCAAAGTGGCACTAATGCAGACTAGTGACCTGACAGCACTTGATAGCTGACACACACTCCTCTTTGATGTTTTCAAAGATTCACACATAGAGCTGTCATTTGATTTCTATGATGCATACATTTTTATAAAATTTTGTCGCAGAAAAAAGTCTTCATTTAGTCTTTTGAACTCTTAATCTCCAACTTGTCACACTGATTGCTTGCACACTGTTGCTGCATTGCATTTAGCCAAAGAAAAATTAAATCACAATGCAATGTGAGCAAAGCCTTGTGCATTCTTCTGTACCTGTCCTGGTGTAAGTGGATGATAACTGGTGCTGTGAAACAATCGTTTGGCTTTGTGCAATTATAGCCTCTTAACATTGATTTCAAGTTGTTGTAAACATACACTTATATATATATTCATGTTGCAACTTTTACTAGAAGTGGTGTAAGAAAATAATTGAGTAAGACAGAAACGTAAATAAAAAAGTTGATCCAGCTGCCACGGCGTATTCCACTAGCAATCATAAAACTGATGAGTGTGCATACTCTTCTTCGCAGGCCAGAGAGGACAGATGTAACGCGTCGTCTGCAGCGGAGGTGAACGGGTTTAAAACACACACTTGCATCATGGTTGGTTCATTTATGCCCCTGGTGTCTGTGGGCTCCTTCTCAAGGAGCTGTCTTATCCAGTGAGGTCCTAAGCCTCAAATGTGCTGAATTTAAAGTAATCCTCTGTTTCTGGGCAGTGTGGTGGCCAGTTTTACAGTAACCCTGCTGTTTCTGAGGGATTAAAACATTCTTAGACACTATATCTATTTTTAATGGGCCCTGTCAATGTGAATTTTCTATTAGGCTGTCCCTCTTTATAGATAAACACATTCAGTATAGCCTCTGCTATGGAAAAATGTCTCCCTGTGCAGTCTAGTAAAATATTACAAATCAAAAGAATGGTTCAGTATTAAATACACGTATTCATGTTCTTTATTTGGATCCCAATTATTATCACAAAGAGGCTGCTGTTCTTCCTGGGGTCCACACCAAAAATAATAATAAAAAAACAAACAAAATCTATAATCACTACTACGATAAGAAAAGGCAAAACAGGCAGATCGGAGCAGTGGAGATCGGAGGTGTTCACAA